GGGGGGGGGGGGGTGAATTTTAACTCATCCATTGGTAATTAAGCAGTGAATAGACTAAATATCAAATCGCAAATAGACTAATTAATTTACGCTAGAGGCAGTAGTATTCACAGTCATGTCTTTCCTCAAGTGTCCAAGTGTTTTGCAATTACAGACCTCTCTCCTACCGTCAGTGGTTCGCTCTTCTTCTGCTTGTTATCGCTGGCGTAATTAATGGGTGAGCTCAACTTCCACCATTTAAATGTTACTTTAAACTCTTATACAGCTACTTTAAGTAAAATGCTTACTGCTTGAAGTGCTTCAGTCCTATCATATGTAAATTTAAAAGCAAAGGAAAGGAATGTCATTTTAATAAAGTTTAGTCTGCCGACTTCATCAAATGGAGGGATTTAAAGTTACAAAAAATGCAGAAATTGAAAATTCCTTTATTTGGCTTAAATGGGAAGCATAAATCAAGAAAATGAATGTTCGGTTATTATGATTTACCTCAAAGTACGCTTTAACAAAATAATTCCTAATTAATTTTCAGCTGCTAGTAATTTCCTATTATTTTGTACCTTGATGGAAAAATGGTAAGTTGAGTGGAAAGCTTAAGCTTCTACAGTTGTGCCACTGTGCTCTATCATTTTCAATGTCTAAGGAAAATATTGAAAGCTATGTATCAACTTCTATAACTCTGCTTTTACAAAAGCGCTTTTTACCATTCTAGTTGCGATTACAACAGGGCATGATTTCAATAGTGTTGTTTTTGTTCGGAAAAATAAAAAAATAAGCTAGACTAAATGCAATTTTGGTGTCAACAAACCCACACTGTTTTATTCTATCCGAAATTATAGTTAATTGCTTACTTTAAGGGCTCTTGATAATTATTTTGATTGCTTACATGTATCTTTCATTCTCCGTAAACAGCAGGATCTTTTAATCTTATTGTTTGGTTTTGTTCAAGTGCATTTTAGTCTGATCTATTTCTAGCTTGTATTTTTTATGTTTTGTTCGTAACTATGTCATTTCGATGATTCAATAGATCTGCCAACTATGATACCTCCAATACAAATTCCTCGAGTATGCTTCACATCACACTTAAAGGAATCGTTATGATCTGCATCTATTGTACTGTCTCTGGCTTTGCAAGTGTCTACACGGAATATGTTCTTAAAAGTCGTGTTCATGTGAGTGCCTTGATAAGGCAATTAGCATTTCAGTAGACTTCATTGTTATCTTTTGCAGATGAGTCTCAATATTCAAAATGCCACATTATACATATTTGGGATTATAATCAACGCTGCCCTTTACGTATTTCAGGAGGCTATGGTTACAGGTGCGTCGTTGCATTTCTTTATAACACTGCTATTGCGAAATTAATTCAAAGAATAGTGCTGGGTAAATGCGTCATGTTGAAACATTTCATTCACGAGTTTCTGATTGGTAATTGCATTCATCTAAATTATTAGTTATTAAATTAAAAGAAAACAAGGTTTTACCTAGATTCCAGATGAGATGGACAAATGTGAACATACGAACCTGAGTATGCTGCTAAGTAGGCCTAATTGAGGTCGTCATGGCATGGGACTTTTCTTCAAATGGCGAGGCCATTTCTTATTCTTCCATGGGATGCGCTGTTATGACATTACCATCCGTGTTGCAACTAAATTTAGAAGAGAATCATTTAATAAAACAGGAACTTCGTGTAACGCATATCTTGTGCTCTTAAAGGCAAATTTTCACACGTTTTTTCGTTATTTAGTGCAAAACCCAAAGAGGTAATAATTTATAGCTTGAGACTGTGCCGCTAAATATAAATGGATTCTTTCTATTCCAGTCAAAATTGAAAAAAAATAAATGCGAAATATTGATTTGAAACAAACATGCGACTTGTGGTTTGGAACAACGACATCGATGACCTTAAACTGAATTTAGCCTTCTTTCAACTTTCCTTATAAACGACAAACTTATCCGCTTATGTTGATTATTTAAAAGGAGGAATGACGATAAAGAGGGATAATAATTTTATTATTTCCCTCTTTGCTTTACTTAAATGCTCGCTTTGTTTAGCTTGATCAATTCTTCGGCTTGAAAGTTTTGCTTAAAGTGCATGAAAAACAATCTGCATTTAAATGTTTTACGAAGACTAAAATTTCAAGGTCTTTGCTAAAATAACGCATTTTGCAATTTCTTATATGAAGATTTTTCTTTGCAAGTAGATCATCCTGATTTATTGATTTTTTCGTCATTCAAGACTTGCAGAAATAGCATCTTGCATTAATGACACAACCTTTTTCAGTCAAACTAAGTTGGTGAACTTTCCCTATAAGCGTATCGAGGGTACACATTTTACGTTCTAGTACATTTAAAAACAAGCTCTGTATTTTGTCATTGATTCCCATCGTTTAGTTGTAATGGTTGGTTCTGAGGCTCATTTTTATGGAAGTATTTTTAATTCCCTCTCATTCACGATACTTGGCAATAACCAACCGGTATGCTGGTGGTTTAGGTTTCAATGTCAAACCTTTCCATTCAGAAACCTTTTTCAGTATCAATTTATGGAGATGCAGCGTGTTGTGTCCTTCTCCTGCCGCCTATAGTATTTACCGAACATGAGCATTATATTTGTTTGGATATAATTTTGAACTAGCTCTAGCTCTTTTTTTCGTCTAGGTAACTTCAACCTTCTTCGTGGATTCACCTTTCTGACATGGTTGCTGGTTGTCACCCAAGGCATTAGCGGGATTTTCATCGGCTTTGTGATGAAATACGCCAGCAGCATTCTGCGTCTTTTTATCATCTCTTCAGCCATGATTGTCACAACCGTTTTTTCAGTTCTTGTCTTCGATCTTGTACTTAAAACCAGTTTTATTATTTCATCTGCTCTCATCATTTGCGCCCTGGTTCTCTACCACTTATGAAGACACCAATTTTGTTTCGATTAAAAGATGGTTTCTAAATCGTTCTTGTGTTACTGCCTGCAATTGAGTAGAAACCAGTATTTTAAAGAAACGTATGGTTTATATCGGTCAGTCAATAAGTTTTCGGCGTAGTCATACTTATCTCAATTTAGAAAACAGAATCCAATAGGAAGGGTTTAATAGAACGTTAGAGCAAGGTGAGGAGTTTGCGCTTGATGATCACTTTGTCCATTGGACAAACTGGCAGTAGTTGTTGATCTAAGTATTAGGTTGGCAACTAAGTCATTGCCGATTTCAAATAAGACAACCGGATTTTTTGTTTAAAAATATAACTTTATTCAATTAGATATTGGCCATCTTGTCGATCGACCTTTTCCCATCGTTCTGGCAGAGTAAAACTTCCCCGTTCGTAAAATACCATCCTTCTGGCAGAGTAAAAATTCCCCGTTCGTAAAATATGTTCGTAAAATGTCTGGTCTTTGCTATTAAAAAAACTGACTTTGTAAAATGTCTGGTCTTTGCTATTAAAAAACTGAATTAGGTGTGATCCTGACAGATCCGCGTTGTTACAAATTTTACCATTTAAAGAGTTTTGGTGTTATGGAACGAAACAAATGATAATCCGAAGGCGCAAGGTCAGGGCTATATGGTGTATGTGACAAAACATCCCAACCTAGTTCCTATAATTTTTGCCAAAAACATCCCAACCCAGTTCCAATAATTTTTGCCGAGCAAGGCGCAAGGTGAGGGCTATATGGTGGGTGTGACAAAACCTCCCAACCCAGTTCCAATCATTTTTGCCGAGTAACCAAAGGTGCCAACCCAGTTCCAATAATTTTTGCCGAGTAACCAAAGATTGGGTGCGATTCCAATAATTTTTGCCAAGTAACCAAAGATGTGTGGAAAACAACACCCTTCCGATTTGATAATGCCGGCCGCTAACCCTTCCGATTTGATAATGCCGGCCGCTTATCTTCAATTCACCCTTCCGCCGATTTGATACCGGCCGCTACTTATCTTCAATTGCATCCACCAGTTTTTCGAGTTGGACATACACATTTAAATTTATCGTTTGGTTCTGTGGCATGAGTTCAAAATACAA